ATGGTGGCGGGCAGGCCTGCTTCTGCTGCACTTACCAGCGCTTTCCTGTGCGCGGGGCCCCAGGATAACCGCAGAGCAATAACCGTCCTGCAGCTCTTCGGACAGTCCTGCTGCCTTCTTTCGAGGAACTTAATAAGATCTGAGGAAATTGCATTACAGTCTCTCTCGAGGATGTTTCTTATCTCTCTCGGGTGTCTCCTGCCTATCACACGCCATCCATTGGGTGCTGGACGGGGCATGTTGCCTACATTATCCAGTAGAAGCCCCACGAAGGAGCCGGCACTGACACCACCCTGCAGATGACGAGACTTCCTCTCCTCTCACAGACGGTGCCCGAACTTCAGAGGGGACCATCCTGCCCACAGAGTGAAAAATGGCAGCCCTGAGAGGACATTGTGTCTTGGAGCAGTGGCTTGACCTTGGCGGTGCCTTCAGTTCACGTGGGGAGCTGGATGCCCAGGCCCACCAAGACCAGTTACATCAGAAGCAGAGGGGTGAGGTTAGCCTTTCGCCTCGTCCCCAGGGATGTCTCTCACAGCTCTGAGGCCAGAGCCCGAAATCAAGGCAAGGCTCTAGAGAAGAATCCTTTCTTGCCTCTTTCAGCTTCTGCCCGCTCCTTGGTTTGTGGCTATATGCCTTCCATCTCTGCCTCCGACAGCATGTGCCTCTTGTCTTCTCCGTTTCTGTTTCTTATAAGGACACTTGTTATTGGACGTAGAGCCCACCCTCTTAATCTAGGACGATCTCATTTGGAGACCTTTAGCTTCATTACATCCGCAAAGACATTTTCCCCCCAAATAAGATCACATTCATAGTTGCTGGCGGTGAGGACTAAGGTATGTCTTTGCTGGGAAAGAGGGATGTATCTACAGCCCACTACAGAGAGCTTGCACTGTATTTTCTGGTTGCACTGAGTGGAGATCCAGGAGGTCCAGAATGTGTAATCTCTTCATCACACTGAAGTCAAACTTTATCTCCTCTTAAAATAGGCCAAACCCTGAAATCAAAGTGTGGGAAAGTCTAGGGTATTTGTAGCTTCAGAGGTAAAGGTAAAGGTTTATAAACCTTGTTTTAAAATAAGGAAACCTGGATGCCCAGCTGGTGTGGCTCAGTTAGTTAGAGCATTGTCCATATACAGAAAGGGTTGTGGGTTTGATTCCCAGTTGGGACACATGGGGGGCAACAGATGGATGTTTCCCTCTTTCTCTCCCTTCTTCTCTGAAATCAATTAAAAAATAAAAATAAAAATAAAAATTTAAAGAAACATCAATAATGAGAGAGAGGCATTGATCAGCTGCTTTCTACACATCCCACACTGGGGATCAAGCCCATAACCCGGGCATGTGCCCTGACCAGAACCATAAACTCCTGGTTCATAGGTTGATGCTCAACCACTAAGCCACTCCAGCCAGGCATCATTGATGTTTCTCTCTTTCTCTCTCTCTCTCTCTCTCTCTCTCTCTCTCTCTCTCTCTCTCTCTCTCTCCCTCCCTCCCTCCCTCCCTCCCTCAGGAAAAAAAAAAAAAGAGTGAGCCAAAACCGGTTTGGCTCAGTGGTAGAGCGTCGGTCTGCGGACTGAAAGGTCCCAGGTTCGATTCCGGGACATGTATGTTGGTTGCGGGCACATCCCCGATAGGGGGTGTGCAAGAGGCAGCTGGTCGGTGTTTCTCTCTCATCAACGTTTCTAGCTCTCTATCTCTCTCCCTTCCTCTCTGTAAAAAATAAATAAAATGTATTTTTTTTTAAATTAAAAAAAAAAGAGTCTCTACCCTTACAGTCAAATCCCATTTGAAAAAAAAAAAAAAAGAGTGATATAACAGAGTTTGAATTTAGGACCAAGATACTGTAGTAGCTGTAGAAACACAGATCAAAAGTTTTAAAAATACAAAATGTTTCAAGGTTATAAAGAAAGGTTAATTGAGGTGTAAATTTACAACTTACATATTTATGTCCACAAATTCAAGTGAGAAAATGAGAGTTGAAAATTATTTCAAGAGGAATGGGTATTGGGGTGAGGGGGTGAGGATGGGAGGCAATGAGCTCTGAATGGGAAAGGGAGAAAAGTTGGAGATCAGAATATTTCAGGTTATATATTTTTTTCTCATCTTCATCCAAAGGCATTCAATTGGATGTTCATGTCTGATCTTGAATTTCCATTAAAAGAGCCCTCAGGTGTTCTCTCCCTTTCCTCCCTCCAGCTCTTTGGACATGAATTCCTTATTGTAGCCACATCTGAGATTTCCTAGATGAAATCAGCAGCTATAGATATGACTCCAGACTTGCAAAAAAATCAGCCCACTGTTGCCATAAAAAGCCTAAGTGTGCATTGCTTCTTTGCATCTGGCTGTAACAAAAACACCCTTTCCCTGTTTAGAATTAAAAGTAAACGTAGTGGAAAGAACATTGGGTGCCAGGACCGATTTGGCTCAGTGGATAGGCCTGCGGACTGAAAGGTCCCGGGTTCGATTCCGATCAAGGGCATGTACCTTGGTTGCGGGCACATCCCCGCTAGGAGGTGCGCAAGAGGCAGCTGATCGATGATTCTCTCTCATCGATATTTCTAACTCTCTATCTCTCTCTTCCTCTCTGTGAAAAATCAATAAAATATATTTAAAAAAAGAAAGAGAGAGAGAGAGAGAGAGAGAGAGAGAGAGAGAAAGAAAAAAAAAAGAAAGAAAGAAAGAAAGAAAGAAGAGAGAGAGAGAGAGAGAGAGAGAGAGAGAGAGAGAGAGAGAACGTAAGAAAGAAAGAGAACGTAAGAAAGAACGAACGAACATTGGTCTAGAACCTGTCACTCAGTGCAAAATGATTTCATTTCTCTCAGGCCTTGGCATTCTTATCCATAAAATTAGGGACATCAAACCAAATTACCACATCCACCTTAAAAATCCTATTCTAAAAATACTGTGCACTTCTTATTTCCATCTAGCCTTTTCCTAAAACCTTATTTGGCAATATCCTAATAAAACTTTGTAATTTTGTGGTGCAATCAGGAGCCACACCTGGATTTCACCATCTACCTAATTCTCACTGTGCAGGCAGAACCTTACCCGCCTTACTCCGAAATGAAATTTGCTGTGGGGCCCCTCAATTCTTTGCTGCTTTGGAAGTTCAATCCACCAGTGTTCCTGTGTGATACTGCACAGTCTGGCTTTATTCTTAAGTCCGAAACATACATTAGTGTGACCTGAACGGACACAGCGTCTCTTCTGACACATTGCATTGGTCAAAGCAAGTCAAAGGCCAGGCTAGGTTCCAGGGGAGGGCAGAAGGCCTCTATCGTTGGCGACAGGAACAGCGTGCCTGCACGGTGAGGAAGGAATTGATGGCCACCATGTTTGGAGATTGTCTACCATAGTCTCCCTGTTGATACATCTCTTGCTTTATTCTCTCTTTATTCTTCATGGCTTTATGTGGCATAGGAACGCAGGCAGGCGGGAATTCGTTCCATGGCCTTAAACATCAAATATTTTACTGCAACCTGCAGGTGCTTTGGAAGGCATTGCTGTCTCTGCTGGACTGAGGGTTGGATATTTACTCTAAGTCTTCAATGACTGTGTTGGGGGTGCAATCATGGTTTGCATGAAGGAGCACTTGTTATGGGCCAGACCCTGTGCTTATGCCTTTTCCATGGGTCTATCATTCGGGACCTGTGCATATCATTTCAGTGTCAGTTTCTAAATTGGTTTGGGTAATAAAAATACAGCATGACAATGTTGGTACCAAAGATTCAAAAATGCTACCCGCTCTCAAGATCCCTTCACAGAAGCACTTACTTCGTTGGATACCTACTGTCCGTTCTTTTTCCTCCCCCACTTCTGGAACCCCTTTTGTAAATTTTGTATTCCATTAATTATATATTTGCCTCACTCTGGTCCCTTTCTGCCCCCAGGCCCACCACTTTCCTGCAATTGATGCAAATTAGGAGGGACCCTAGTGGGAGGTCAGGGAACAGAGGTGTCCAAGTAGAGCTGAGTTTGTTCTCTGTGTGGAGGGAAGTTTTCCACAACCACCCACAGCTGATGCCCTTCACACCCTCAGGTCAGATCATCGGGGAGCATGTGTGATACCTGCTTCTATACTATGCCCACAGTGTACATTTAGTTAGGGGCTTGGGGTGATGACTATTATAATATTCATTTATTCAGGGATGTCAGCAAACCCAGGGCAGAACACAGAGCACACACTGAAAAATCCTACTGAGGTAGCTTATAACACTTTTTTTTATAGTGTCTAAAATGCATTTATGTATCTCTCACAGTTCTATTGATATACTAGAGGCCTCGTGCATGAAATTCATTCATGGGTTGAGTCTCTAGGCCTGACCAATCAGGGCCAATCAGGTTCCCCGCCTCCCCCTCCTCCTTCCCTCACCACCTGCATCTACCATCACCTACTCCTGGTTTCCCATCCCAGCCTGGGGCCCAGCCCCAATCAGGCAATTGGGGCCTGCCAGCCTGGGGGGAGGGGGAAGTAGGGACCAGCAGGGTAGCCAGCAGGCCCCATCACAATCAGGGCCTACAGGCTGGGGGCAGCTCCTGCATTGAGCGTCTGCCCCCTGGTGGTCAGTGTGTGTCATAGTGACTGGTAGTTCCATCATAATGGTCGCTTAGGCTTTTAGATAGATAGATAGATAGATAGATAGATAGATATAGATATATATAGATAGATATAGATAGATAGATAATTTACATGCCAGAGAGTTCACCCACTTAAAGTGTTCAGTTCAATGGCTTTTAGCACACTCACTGAATTTTGAGCCATCCCCTTAAATCTAATTTTAGAACATTTTTATCACCCCCAAAAGAAACTTTGTCCCCATAGCATCCATTCCCTGTTCTATACCCATTCCCTAGCCACTAATCTACTTTCTTTCTCCATAGATTTGCCTATTTTGGATATTTCATATAAATGGAATTCTACAGTGTGGCCTTTGGTGAAAAGCTTCTTTCACTTAGCTTCACTTCCAAGTTACCGTTTCTTTGGTATATTTTTTCCAGGATCCTAAACACTTCAAGTCAGAGAAGACAGGACGGGGACAGTTACGGGAAGGCTGGAGAGATAGTCATCAGCCCATCATGTGTTCCTACAAGCTGGTGACTGTGAAGTTTGAGGTCTGGGGGCTCCAGACCAGAGTGGAACAATTTGTACACAAGGTAAGCGAACAAAGAGCAGTTCCTCAGCCTCGGAGCATGTACCTGTCTTGATGGTAAGCTGGAGTGAGTGATATACCACAGATGCACAGGTGCTGAGCCAACACCAGGTAACTGCATCTAAGCATTTTACATTCAGGTTTAATTTTCTTCCACTAGTAGATCTTTTACACCATCTCCTATCCTGTACCTCCATATCTATTGTGTGAGTGTATTTAGGAAGTTGGACTTTCAAAACACTTATCCTATATGGAAGCAACCCAAGTGCCCATCAGTAGACAAGTGGATAAAAATGCTGTGGTACCTACATAAACAGTGGAATATTACTTAGCCATAAAAAAAATGGAATCTTACATTTGCAACAGCATAGATAGACTTAGAGGGTATGGAGCTAAAAAAAAAATAAGCCAGACAGAGAAAGACAAACACCATATGATTTCATTCATATGTGGAATCTAAAGAATAAAATAAACAAACAAAATAGAAACAGACTTAGAGTCACAGAGATCAGAAGGGCTGGTAGGGCTGGGTGAAAGAGATTAAGAAGTACAAATTGGTAGTTAACAAAATAGTCATGGGGAAGTAAAGTACAGCCTGGAGAGTATAAACAATAGTGTAATAACTGTATGGGGCCAAGAGAGTACTGAAAATATCAGGGGGAACACTTTGTAAAGCTTATGATTGTCTAACCACTATGCTGTCTACCTGAAACTAGTACAAAATAATGCTAAATGCAAACTGTAATTGAAAAATTTTAATTAAAAAAAAATGTTAAAAACATCACATACTTCTCCTTTTGGCATTGGGCTAATCTAGTTCCAAGCACAGGTACTTATACTTGGTACTTGGGTTGCAGGCAGAGGCACAGGGCTTATCTGCATGTGCATTCCCCGAGGATAATTCTCACTCTAAAGGTCCTGCAAATGTAGACCCTGAGGCACCGTCTGAGTGTAGAAGGCACCTCAAGAGACAGAGCAAGAAATCCCAGTAGTCCCATTAGATGATGCACTGCAGAATTTCTCCTCATAGAATTCTGTCAACAAAGAATTGTGAACAATCTCAAAATACAGATTTCAATTCTATACCCACCTTGGCTAAGCTCATTAATTTTGTAGCAGGAATTCCCTTGGTAATGATTTAGGTTTTTTAGAGGTTTCTAACATGACCCCTGTCCTCATGGCGAAAGAAAAAGAAAGAAAATGTAGTGTTGAACACTGCCCTTTATAATTCCTCCCATCTCCATAAAAATAAATACTACCCACGTTATCTCTACATTCCAGATAGGCTGAGTATCTGTTTGTTTATCCTCTTAAAAATTGATAACAATAATTTTTTTATAAAAAGCTTTCTGGAATTCTTTTGGAGGTGTTGAATTTAAACTTGTGTGCTAAGCTTTTTGTTCCTTAGATGGATTTGTCTACAGGAGACAATTGACAATAAAATAGGGTACCCAATTGACCATAAAAATTTGTAAATCTTGAAATTAGGTCCAAGGAATAGACTGACCTTGGGCTCGTGATTATCACAGACGCTGGAACAAATTTGAGACAGAGAAGGGTGCCAATTCTACTGAGCCTCAGAACCCATTCTGCCCAACCAGAGGAGGGAGTCGGGCAAGGCACCTAGAAATCCAGTTCTGGGGCTGCCTGTCGTCCTGCTGGGTCCCAGTTAGTGAGCAGGAAGACAGGGCTCCCAGGGTGAAAATCTTCCAGCCTCTGCTCTGTGTCTGTCTCAGGCTGTGACTTCCTACAACATCCACTCAGCCCCTTTTCTTTACCACAGCGCTCCTCGTGTTTCTTTTCTCACAGATGACTTGGGCTAGTTTTGAGACTCTGTTTCTTTAAAACACCTGTAAGAAGTACACTCTGGCTGGCGTAGGCATCCCCATTGCCCATTTCCAAGTGGAATGAGGTGCTACCAACGCCCAGCACACACCTGCTCTGGCACATGAGTTGCTAATGAGTGTCTGAAGCCAGCATTTGCATGGGCGCCTTTCTCTGAACACCTTTGTTTTTTTAAGAATCTTTTCACAGTTAAGGGGAAGAAATGTTTGAAAGCGAGCTATTAGCACATTATTGAGTTCCTGTTTCCAAGCAGACAGCTGTGTTGTGCTTAACGTAATAGGGTCTATTTACTGATGCCTCGATGCTGTTCTTTTGATTTCCATGAATTTGACACACTCGGCACTCAAGTATGTTCAGCTTCACGAACATTTCTTATTTTCATTACATTGCCTCCTTCAGCCTCACCAGCTACCCAGAGGCCTGGCATAATAAACACTTTCTGATAAATACTTCCCTTGTTTCTGCAAATTCACCAAAATTAAAATCCTTCATTTACCGAAACATGCTCAAACCTTCCATGAGAGGCTTTAGATAGTAAGAGGAATCTCAGAAGGAGAGTGTGAGTGTCCAAGAAACTTTCTAAGGAGTATTTATGGGGGACAAAAAAAAATAATACCATAAGTTAAAAGCACATAATAGGGCTATTCACACACAAGCTGTGTCTATATTATTTTTCTTTTGTCCTGTTGCCATTATGTGTCACCATCAGAAACAGTTTCATTCTGATGGTGACACATAATGGCAACAAGACAAGTTTATTATCATTGCCATTATGTTCTGTTCTACTTTGGGTGTCTTATTTCATTTCTTTCAATAATAGTTAACTGCCCTTGCTCTCCCTCCCCCACCCCCGTTCTTAATTACATGAAAGTCAAGCCAGAAAGATATTTATGCTTCTTGTATACCACACCTTCAATTATTTGTTTGTTTGTTTTATTTTTTTGTTTTGTTTTGTTAATCTTCACCCAAGGATATTTTTCCACTGATTTTTAGGGAGAGTGGAAGAGAGGGGGAAGTCTGAGCAAAACACATCTATTGGTTGCCTCCTGCATGGCCCCAACCAGGGCCGGGACTAGGGAGGAGCCTGCAATCAAGGTATGTGCCCTTGACCGAAATTGAACCAGGGACCCTTTGGTCCGCAGGCCCACACTCTACCCACTGAGCCAAACCGGCGGGGGCGCTTCAATTATTTAAAGAAAATGAACCAATATTTAAGATATTTCATCAGAGAAGAATGTTGAGTGTTCTTTATTAAGAAGTGACCCAGAAAAACTCTTGATTTCTAGCATGTCTGACTGCTTGGCACCAGTGAGACACACCCTCTACAAATGTTTTAGATAAAAGTAAACAAAGAGAAAAATCTCAAGGTGATTAGCCTGGAGATTCATTCCAGTCATTGCCGCGTGACTGCCAAGTCGTTCCCATTGGTTTGTACACACCTCCAGCCTGACTTCCAAGCAAGACAGACATTAATTTACACCCAGGACAGCCCGCAATGGAAAGGGCTGAGGGTGAGCAAGTATAACACCTGTGCATGTCTCCTAGCATTGTCCTGCCATATGAACAGAGCTATGGAGACATATATAATGCCAGGATCCCTGAAACTGGGAGTGACCTATTTTCCAGGTGATTTTAATCAAACATGGTGTTATTTCAACCTTCTTCTTTTACTTTTTTAGGTGGTCCGAGATATTCTGCTGATTGGACATAGACAGGCTTTTGCATGGGTTGATGAATGGTATGGTAAGTCAACTTCCCCGAAATAACTTGTAGGACGATTTCATAATACATTGACTTGGGATTTTAGTCCATCTGGCTTTAAATGCTACCTAGAAAGACATCAACAAAGGCAGGGCTACTGCCTCCTGTATTGGAAAATAGCACTGTTCACGGAACATAATGAGGAAAAATGTAATGCTAGAAGCTTGATCTAAAATAACTATTGTACTTAGCTGTTGAGGAAGTGGGACCTCAGTCAGTATGTTTGATGCTTGCTTACTTGACTTGCATGTAGGACTCTATAATTCTCTGTTGGGTGGGTTTCAGTCTCATCCTAATTTATATAGACTTCAAGATCAAAGCTGTCGCAAGTGTTATACCAAGTGAAACTCCTTCAATTCACAGATCACTTGAAACACTCCCTCACACAAAACAAGGATTCCGCAAGAGTTCAAGGACAGAAAATTAGATATCCCCTTAATCCTAAGGCTATTGTTTTGGCCTTTTTTTTTTTTTTTTTTTTTTACATGATTTGGGAAGAGTTTAGCAAGTTCTGCTCTTTTACAGTAAATGATGGATGGAGCACCCTCCCCAGATCCTCTGCACTGTCATTTTACCCACAGAATCCTCTCCAGTTCCAGGACCAGTCATCAGACACTAGTGTCCTTGACTTTAAATAGAAACAAACATACCCAATTGGTGGCTGGGATTAGATCTGATTATTTAATGAGGTGCCCTTCTCCTTGGCCTTATCCTAAGTCACCCTGAATCTGTTCTCAGTGTAAGCTCGGTTGCATTCTGGTGCTTTTCTGTCACTGTTCCACCAGTTCCTTTCCTCTTCAGAGCAGAAGGTATCAAACTTAAAGTGAAAGGGGAGGGTGGACTGAATGGACAAAGGCAGGGATCGTCAGTAATATTGTTTGCTGTTTCTGAGCCACATTTTTTTAGAAACATGCTTTTGTAGGCCAAGGGCTTTCTATATTTTGCTTTTATTTTTTGTAATTGTTCCTCCCAGTTCTGCATCTTCTGAAGAACAAATGCATCTTCCTAGAAGAGATTCTTTTGGAAGATCACCTCTCTCTCTCTCTCTCTCTCTCTCTCTCTCTCTCTCTCTCTCTCTATATATATATATATATATATATATATATATATATATATATATACACACACACACACACACATATATATGTGATTTCAGAGAGGAAGGGAGAGGGAGAGAGAATAGAAACATAAGTGAATCATTGACTGGCAGCCTGCAACCCAGGCATGTGCGTGCCCTTGATCGGAATTGAATCAGGGACCCGTCAGTCCACAGGCCGACACTCCACCCACTGAGCCAAACCGGCTAGGGCAAAATCACCACTCGCTTAACACAACCCCCAGGATGCTGCCACCCACGGCCCTCGGGCTGGCTCAGCTCATGGTCGTGTGTCTCCCTGAGACCTGTCTGTGGTTGTCTTCTGTGAGGCAGGAGGGACAGTCTCCTGTGGTTACTTCCCCTGATCTTTAAACCAATCTTTCTGGTTGTATTTTTCTGGGGAGCTTTCCTCAGATTCTTAGAGGAAGCACAGACCCCAAAAAAAGTTAAATAACTGGTAAGTCCCAACTTGGATTCCTCCAGGCTTCTAGTTTCCTTACCACCTACACGAGGGATATCAAAAGGATATTCAAAGAATAACAGGCTCAAACTGATAAAAAGGTTGGCAAGTGAAGGGGACCCGAAGGACCAAATATCTGCCACTTTGAAGACCGAGGAGACGCTGGGCACGTCAGTAGGTGTCTCTCTAGGGCCAGGATGCCAGCATAGACTTTTAAGAAAGCTCAGCATCAGCCGGGACCGGTTTGGCTCAGTGGATAGAGTGATGGCCTGCGGACTGAAAGGTCCCGGGTTCGATTCCGGTCAAGGGCATGTACATTGGTTGCGGGCACATCCCCAATAGCGGGTGTGCGGGAGGCAGCTGGTCGATATTTCTCTCCCATCAATGTTTCTAGCTTTCTATCCCTCTCCCTTCCTCTCTGTAAAAAATCAATAAAATATATATTTTTTTAAAAGAAAGAAAGAAAAAGAAAGCTCAGCATCAAGCAGGGCAGCTGGGTCCTGGCTCAGAGGACAAAACACTGCCAGCCTGTCCATCAGGGAAGGGCCTGAGGAGAGATGGATATAGAAAGAGGGAAAATTGTGGGTGGGCCTCCAGCAAGAGACCTGCTAGACGGTAGAGGATGGGGATTGACTGGAGTAAGGAAGACCAAAATACTTTTAATCCCAAAACAGAAAAATCTCACACTGTTCCCGGGACCCAAAGGTAAATAATATCGAAGGAACCTGGAGGCCCCCAGTCCCAGAGACCTCACAGAGGACACCTACCTGTTTACTTCAGATGGGCTCGGTAGAGACAGAACTCCACTTTTGGTTGACAAAAAGCCTTTTCTGTATCTTGAGTGCAGAAAAGCAGCTTGTGGGTTCCCGGATGTAGACCATCAGGGTGCCGTGCACTCCCCAGAAAGGCCTCTACCCCCTGACTACACAACCCCAGCCCTAACCAAACAGGAAGCCTGTTCAGCCAGCAAGGGGTTCTGAGAACCATCCATCCATTTCGTGTAAGTGACGGCTGGCATCGTCCCCTGTCTGAGCTGCTTGCCAGCAAAACCGTGGCTCTTTCATTACACAGACGCAGACCCTCAAGTCAAATGGGTGGAGATGGCCCTGCCCACAGAGGGTCTTTGAGCCTTCTGTCCACAGTAACGCTGGGGACTGTGGGTCTTTCAGGTGAATGGGTGTGTCCCTGGGACAGATGCCAATTGTCTACAGGACAGCTTTTCAGGTTTGGGTGCCTGAAGTTGCTTATTTTTCTTTGCTCTGCACAGAGCCAGAAAGGCTGTCATTAGTAAACATGGACAAGGTCTAACGTAAAGAACAAACAAACAAAAACCACTCTTGTCTGTAGCTCATAGCCTGGTTCTCAAAGTCCCTGGACCAATAACATCAGCATCCCCTGTTGGAAATTCAGATTCTCAGGCCCTGCCCTAAACCTACCCTGCGGGATAGGCCAGCAATCTGTGTTAATAGCCCTCCAGATGAGTCTGATGCTCGATAAAGCTTATGAACACCTGGGGTATAGCATGAACTGCAAACCAGATTAGATCCCAAGGAAGAGCAGTTTGATTCAGTACAAACAGATTAAACAAAGAATGGTAGCAGTCTTCAGGACCAACTGCCAAATTCTGGTGCCTTGTGAGAATTAGAACAGGCGCCCCCTTTAGGCAGATTCAGCAGGTGCTATCATCTTGGGGCTAAATTTTAGTCCCATCCACCCCCTGGGCTGAGTGTTCCTAGTGCACACAAACTGTACACCATTATGTAGTGGCTACTCTGTATGTCTTTCTCCCCAGACTCACCATCTCCGGTGCCTAATTACGATTAAAAAAAAGAAAAGAAAAGAAAAGAAAAAAGGACATTGTAGTTGATAGTGATCTTTTCTTGCTCAAGGATTTTAATTTTGTATCTTTTCCGAGTCTCAGCATTTTGCTGTCGCATAACTAATTTCCTAAACAGATGTTATTCTGCTCATGTTCATAGTAAAGTGTAACCATTTCCACTATTGAAGGAGTTGAGTTTGCCTTTCAAAGGCTTGATTGGTCTTTATCCATGAGCCTTGGGTGTCTCCTGTGTGACTAGAACACTAATCAGAGAAGTAGCAACAAGGCATTTCAGAAAACGAAGTGGATAAAAATAGGCAGCCCAGCTTCAGAAGAGCATGGTTTCGCTCCACAGACTGACAGTATTTTGAGAAAGGAACACAGGATTGCCAGCAGGAGGCTGTGATTGAGTGGAACCTCATGAACAGCTTGTAAATCCTCACTGTTCCAAAATATATATAGGGGCAGAGGGGTCGTTCTGACTGGTACAGATGAAACCACCTCATGACAATGAGTCCCTAGAGCGGGCCTAACACTAAGTGAAGCAAGCTCAAAGTGGAGAAAGGCATGTTTAAAGATTAGCGTGAGTTGGTTGAGTTCACCAGGCCAGCATTTTCCAATGGCCTCACATGACCTTGAGTGCCCTGGCTCTTAGGCAGTATTTTATGTGCGTGCTTATGTTCACCTCTCTGGGGAGAGAACCCATAACTTTCCATCAGCTTTTCAAAGGGGTCTGTGACCCCACCCTCCACTTCCTCAAATGAAGAGCTACTGTATAGGAAAAAATGGCAGCTGTAGACTACAACCCAGGATCTTAGTGGTCTGAATTAGTTCATGGAAAGGGTATGCACCAAGCTTTAAGGATTGGCTACTTTCACTGCATAAAAGGTGTAGCCACCCTAAGCTATTTGTAATAAACATGGTTGACCTTATGATGATTTTTAAAGGTATAAATAAGGCACTTCCCAAAGGATAGCCCTCACTGTGGCGGAGCCAAAGGGGTATCACATCTCACTCAGGATTGCTGGAGTCTCCCCCGTGCCCCGCCCCACACCCAACCCAGCCACTTGTTCAAGATTTCCATTTTGACTTTGAGCAAGGAAAAATGAATACTGTTTTGGCTAAGGAGCCTGGAAATGGAGAGAAAATGTTTATAGAAGGAAATAAAATGTAATGTGCCATTGGGCAGGTTATTGAATTAGAGTTGGTAGAGGCTTTTTAAAATTTTTTTAGTTGCTGTGCCCTAACTGGTTTGGCTCAGTGGATAGAGCATCAGCCTGGAGACTGAAGGATCCCAGGTTCAATTCTGGTCAAAGGCACGTGCCCAGGTTGTGGGCTCAGTACAGCCGATCAATGATTCTCTCTCATTGTTGATGTTTCTATATCTCTTTCTCTCTCTCTCTCTTCCTCTCTGAAATATTTATTTATTTATTTATTTATTTATTTATTTATTTAATTTAGTTGCTGCAACTGTGCAGTGCAAGGTAGGAAAACTCAGACTTGCAGACGTTTTGTTCCTTGATATTTGTAGTTTCTCTGTCTGTTCAACTGACTTCTAAAGGCTTTCCAGATATATGATCTTGCCTCTACTTCCTGTAAAATCAGCC